AGAGAGAGAGAGAGAGAGAGAGAGAGAGAGAGAGAAAGAGAGAGAGAGAGAGAGAGAGCGAGAGACGGAGAGAGAGACAGAGAGAGAGAGAGAGAGACGGAGAGAGAGACAGAGAGAGAGAGACGGAGAGAGAGCGAGAGCGAGAATGAACGAAACAACACGCGCGTTCCTAACCCATACGGCACAGGCCGGAAACTTTGACTGCTATCCAGGCATCTGCAAGTACACCAGGCGTGCCTTGTTCCAAGCTCGACTCAGGTCCAACCTGGGTTGAAGGGTGCAGCTGTCTTTGGTCACCTTGTATGAATAAACAGTAAGCTTAACAACTACACAAATTTAATACAACGTAAGCATTAATGTGACGGATGCTGCAGCTATACAGTCAATGTACACACACAGAGAATGGTCGATTGTGATACTGACAGATGTAGATTCGATCTGTCTAACAAGAGCATACACGAAGATCTGTCTTCTGATCTACGACACAACATTAAAGGACAAAAACGACATGCAGAGCAGATGCCATGACACTACCCATATAAAGTACGACAACTAGCACACTTGATTCTGTCAGGTGATATCTTTGCTGGTTCAGCTCCTGGGAAACTAAATGCCAAGACTTGGGATTACCGAGGGACTAAGCTGCCCCAACAAAGTCTTGAAGGCTACCCACTGGACACCTCAAATATTTCGACATGATGGCTTCCCTGGGAGGTGGGGGCTTAGCCGGGGGCATAATGAATCTTCAGCACGAGACGGACCATCATTGAAGGACGTTGACGGACCCAAGTGTCGGGACTCGGTTTGTGAGGGCAATATTATATTAGACCAAGCATGAAGCTTCAAGGGAGGCATAAGATACAGGAGACGCCAAACTGAGACGGTGGATGGCTTCAGCCCAGGCACTTCGTGAGCCGCATGGCCAGGCCGCGAATTAACCGGCGTGTGTTTTCCAACTCCCTGTGGTACTGGAAGAGAGCATTCCAGCCCTTGGCCATCATGGAACCTGCGACCCTGCCGATCACAAAGGCCATGGCCTCGCGGTCGGTTGCGTTGAGCAGGTACTTGGACATCTTGATCGCTCGCTCCCAGCTCTTCACCTGAGAAACATCCTGCGAGTAGAGGAAGACCGGACCCCAGGCACGCTCCTTGAGCTGTAACCGCACCCGGGCCTCATGACGGGGAAGAAAAGGCTCTGCACCCAGGCCCACCATGTTTTTGGTCTCAAACTGGCACGTGGCCTCCCGGATGTCGTAGATGGTGTGCCTCTCCCCGGCATACTCGGCCTTGTTGGATCTGTAGACTGTCATCCTGCCAGACTGGAGTGTCCAGTAGCGGTACTTGTACCAGCCCCAGGGGTACTTGCTTCTCTTGACCAGCGTGTGCCGCGTTAGGGCCCTGCTGGTCTTCTTGAGCTTTCCGGTACCCACATGCCTGCCATCTGGAATGGGGGCCGTGCCATCCTGCATAGTTTTGATCTTCACGCGGGCCAGCGCATCCCGCTCTTGCATTTCTTCGGGTGACCTTTGACAGCAAACGGCTGGGGAAAGGATGATCTGAAAAGAGACGCAAAGGGACAACACGCACAAACACACACACACACACATGTGCACACACAATCAGACAGCATCTTTGATGTGGCTACTGGTGAAAAAACGAAGCAAACTAGGGACACGGCCTGTGGAGGCCAGTCTTTTCATCAATGGCGACGTTGGGACTGCCATAGGCGATATCATCGATCTCCATCTTGGCCGCCGCAAGTAACATCGTCTGTTTGATGAGCATGCGATACATATCGCCCTTGCCATCCTTGTCCTTTCCCTTGTTCTTCTTGGGATCTAGCCAGTTCTTGATGATCGTGGTGTCCTTCTTGTCTCCGACAGCTGGCGTGATCTTCTCAGGGTTCCGCGGTTGTCGCAGCCCGACTGGGCCATGGTTCGTTCTGATCATGGGACTTTGCCCAACTACACTACACAAAAAGGCCCCGCTTCTTTCCTGTCTGCACTTGAGCCTGACAAGAACTGTACGGGCAGGACGTCATGAAGCATCAGCAAACGAAGCATTCCAATCACGACAACCGACTTGCAACGCACCTGTCACAGCTGCACGATTTTCTGCACTACACTGCCGCCCTTGCGGCAAAGGGTGCTCCGGGCTATTTTAAGCCTCAGAGCCTAATTCGCTACGTGCTGCAAAAGCTCGAAAGCTTCCACAGTTTCACAAGCACAGCCCAAACCGTATGCCGACAAGCCTCCACGCAGCACGCAGCTGCAACTAGAACGAACAGTAAGATGGGTTTTTCCACTCCTCAGGAGTGAACTCCCAGCTGGGAAAGTTCTCACATAGTCCCACTTCTAGGAAACTCAGCGAGATCGAACTGTATTGCTACAGGAAACATTAAAGTATATTTAACTTACTCGTATATGCACATATGCAGATATGTGTACGTATTTTTTGCATGAATGTGTGTGAATGAATGAATGAATGAATGAATGAATGAATGAATGAATGAATGAATGAATGAATGAATGAAATGAAATGAATGAATGAAATGAAATGAATGAATGAATGAATGAAATGAATGAATGAATGAATGAATGAATGAATGAAATGAATGAATGAATGAATGAATGAATAAATGAATGAATGAATGAATGAATGTGTGTGTGTGAAT